TTGATTCTCCCCCACCCCTCGCCACCCCTTCCTTCCCTCTCTCCCCTAACCTCTTTTTCCAAACCCTCCATCCCTCGTCACCCCCTCCTCCCTCTCCTCTGAGCTCTGTATCCCCTCTCTCCCTCACCTCTCCCTCTCTCCTTCCCGGCGTGTTGTGACAGACAAGTGCACGGCCAAGGCAGACATCGTATTTGTGATGGACTCATCTGGCAGCATCGGCTCCCACCACTACAAGTGAGTTAAAACCTGTATCTCGGTCACTTCAGCACTGCCAGGAAATCTAATAGACAAGCAAACAAACAAATGGATAGATAAATGATAATCAAACAAAAAACTAAACAATCAATAATTGAATAAAGAAACAAAAATAAAGGAATGAATTAAGGAATGAATGAAGGAAGAAATGAAAGAATGAAGGAATGAATGAACGAAGGAATGAATTAGTAAATAAAGTTAGAAAAAAGAATAAATAAATAAATAACCTTCTTATCGCCCATATTCCCGCTCAACGGGGATATCATTATCCCGACAGACCCTACAACGCTCAGAAACATTCTTAGCTTTTAACCTTTGGGTCTCCGAAAACTTGTCATCGAACAGTTCACATACCTTTTCAGTGTATGTTAGGATTTGGGTGTGTTGTTTTTTTTTTGCCACTTTCAACAATGTAGAGATGTTTAAGAGGCGGGACCTCTGAATTTTAACTTCCATCTCCGACATGACCGAACCAAGTACGTCTTAGAAATTATCCAAGTAACACTTGTTAAAGAAAAATCTATAGGGGTATCGAACCAGGATCATCCGCACTATAACCCAACATCATACTAACTATCATTTCACTGTGTTCAGTAACCTTAATTATTACTTAACACTCATTATGTCCATCTAATAGCTATGCATTGCTCTTACCAAACAATAACAACAACAGCTACAATAACAACAGCAACAGCAAAATCAACAACGACGACAACGACTCCAACTACAACAACAGCAGCAGCAACAACAACAACAACAACAACAGCAACAACAATAACAACAACAACATCACAAACACAACAACAATATTAATAATAATAATAATAATGATAGTAATAATAATAATAATAATAATAATAATAATAATAATAATAATAATAATAATAACAAAAGCTATCAATAAAGTGGAACTAGGTCATATTTCTTTCTCAACGCGTGAGATATGGAATCTCATTCACTGAGGATAGCAAAGCTACCATGTCATTCTTTACTCATAGTCTGTTATGATAGGAATTTTAGTATGAACCAAGACGGCCCTGAAATTTCAAAAAGGGGGGGGGGGGGTCAAAAAGAGAAGAGAAAAAGAACAAGGAGAATGATATTATGCTTTGACTGCCAAAAAGTCTAACTGAGCAACAGTTTTACTTGAAACCCCATCCCCTCCCCCTTTAGAAATTATACCCTTTCCTTATCTTTGTTTTCGTGTTTTTATTCTCCAGGACCCAGCTGGAGTTTTTAGCCAACATCACTGACAGTTTCACAGTGGGACCGAACGACGTCCAATTTGGCACTGTGGTTTTCTCAAGCGATTCCCGCGTCCTCTTTTATTTGAACAACTTCACCAACCATGCTGACATAAGGAACGTGAGTTGTTTTTTTTCTGTGCTCTTTTCTGTTGAGCATAAACCCTGCTTGAAAAAAGAATAGATTCTAAACAGATGATCACCCCTCGCATCCTTTACAAGAAGCTTTTTATTCAGACTCAGTTTGACCGATTCGTAAACTGGACGCACCGAGTTTGAATCCTGCAAAATTGTACCTATCTTTTTTTTTACTGGTAGTTAGGATGGATTAGTTAGAATACGGACGCTACTCTTTCACATCATCATCATTGCCTTTCTCACCCTGCACCAGAGTATAGGCCACTGATAAACTCGTTCCATTTTTCTCTATCCTGGACTAGTCTCTTGATGTTATTCTATGTCTTTCCACTTTTCTGTACATCAATTTCTGTAATTCTTTTCCAGGTTCCATGCGGTCTTTCCTTTGATATTTTACTCTGTGGATTTCAATCCAACACTTTCTTTGTTATGCAGCTGCCAGACTCTTGTCACATACTGGCATTTATATGTAGCTTGCTTCTCTAGAAATAGGTAGCCGCACTGCGTAGTAAAAAAAAATAAATTTACAAGCTTCAAAACCAACCTGAACGTTTTAAGTTTAAGGTAATTTTTCATACAAATCATCAGGCGATCATGAAAGCTCCTTTCCTGTCTTCGGTGACGTATACGAATCTGGGCCTGAAATTGGCGCGAGAACAAGTTCTGTCCCCTAGTCACGGTGCTCGCCCAAACGTTACAAAACTGGTCATCGTCATCACAGACGGCGAGTCGACCAACCCAGACCAGACTCACAGCGAGGCCGCCCGCCTGAAAGCGACAGGGGCACAAGTTTTGGCCATTGGTGTCGGAGACCATACGAGACGCTCTGAGCTAGAGGACATCGCGTCTGCAGCCGACAACGTCATTGAAGCGGCCGGTTACACTACACTGGATTCCATCGGGAAGCTAGTGGGAAAGCAGGCGTGTAAGACAGGTAAGGTCCTTTGTCTCACGACGGTCTGCTGTGTAGGGGTTTGGCGCTTCGCGGTTGCACGCAGAAACCGTGAGTTCGATTCTCGTGTTGGAAGCCTATCTAATTGAGCATCTCCGTCTGTTTGCTGGGATGTTGTATCCCTCTCACTCCGAGTTATACGTCCCACGTGATCAAAATATTTCGATGAGTGTGTTGGATATTTAAATGTATTTCTCTCCTCTGTATGGACCCGCGCGCCTATAATCCCCCATTGTTGCCAAATCAACAACACTATATGTGTTAACACACAGTTTTTTCGTACGAACCAAACATTCTCTTCTTTGTTTTACACAAAACCTTCAGTATAAACAAAGTTGCCAATGCCGTGTCAGTTTTGTTTTGCTTTTTAGATTTTAGAAGCATATGTATCCAGGCCTTTCTTGTCTTAACCTTAGGAAGATTTGAGTCAGGTGTCAGAAAAAAGAGGACCCATTTAAAGGCCAATAACTTGGTCATCTGTACACTGATTTTAATGTAACTTGGAAATAAAAAAATTCATCCGGTAGATACATTATATTTGTGAGTATGAAATAAATCAACTACCAGACCAGACCATCAATGATTTATTTATAGAGGCACCAGCCATCCATGTCCAGGTGCTGTTTTAGCCTAAATCAACTTTTTTTGGAAAAATGTCAATTTTTAAAAATTTTAATCAAAATTAGGTGAAACGCAAAACGTTGCAACTTCTTAAAAATCAATCGTACTGTTCTGTTTGAAAGAGTCTTCATTTCTGCATTGAAGAAAAAAAAATTATATTGCCAAATAAACCTAGGGAGATGACTGCTATCTAAATATCAAGGTGTTGACCATTTCTCTCCAAACAAGCTCTAATAAGCCACTGGAAGTTTTAAATATCCGCGTGGCATGTTTTGGGTCGATTCTTTGGACATCTTGTTCAACATTGAATTTCAACTGTTCGATCGCTTGTGGCTTTTTCCTTAGACTCTGTCTGTAAAAAAAACAACCCAAAAAGCCAAATGTAATAATATTGTAAGGGCTTAAGTTTTGGGAACTGTGGTGACTATATATATATAATTCATTTGTAAACGTAGGTCTTTTAAGGCGTTTCCCAAACCTTTCTTACAATCATACAAGTGCCACTCAAGACATTTGGGGTGTGGCCTCATCCCACTGGAACCAGATCTCTACAGTATAACACCTTCTCCTCACCAAGCATCTCCAAAACGTTCTCAGCACGATGAGATATCCATCTGCTGTGACTGTAGTGGTTTGGTTTTACGGTCTTTTAAGAAGCAAAATTTTGCGTTTTACCGAGTTGAGCCTTAATTTTTAAAATTTTTTTTGGATATTTCTCGAAGGCGTTAATGGATGTTCTTCCGATTTCCAAGCTTGAAGATCCTCTGGTTAGAATTTATTTATTTGTTCGAAGTTTTGTTGAAATAGTGTATTGATGACCAAATTATTGTCCTTTAAGTATTGGTCCTCTATTTTTTTAAAGAGACCCTGTAGCTGTTTCTACAGGATCCAGGTCGCAAAATGTGTTCTGGTCCTCCCTTTTTTTCATTCCATGTTCTCTTTCCCCACCTGTCCTTCTCTGTAGCGGCCCCAGCCCCTATGTGTCACGCTTTGGCTGACATTATCTTCCTCCTGGATTCTTCTGGAAGTATCGGTAAGGACAACTATGCCAAACAGCTAAAGTTTGCCGCCAACATGACACGACAGTTCAGACTGGGTCCGAATGACGTCAGGTTTGGCGTTGTATTGTTCGGAGACGCAGCTCACGGACTCTTGGACTTAGATGATTATGACGATCACACAGCTCTGTCTAAGGTAGGACTTGAAGTTGAAGGCTTATGACACAAGTCCAAGGTATCCCTAGTGACGTTCTCAAGAAATGTTTGCTCTTTCCATGATTCATTTTGCCCTATTTTTCGAGTGTTGGAAGGGGGGACGGAATCTCTCTCCCTCTTTTTAAGGTAGGACTTGAAGGTTTATGACGTCCATACACACACACACACACACACACACACACACACACACACACACACACACACACACACACACACACACACACACACGCACACACATCTGTCTCTCTCTCTTTCTATCTCTCTTTCTTTCTCTCTTTCCCTCTCTCTCTTTTCCTCTCTCTCTCTTTCTCCCCCTCTCCCTCTCTCTCTTCCCCTTTCACCCTCTCTCTCTCCTTCTTTCTGTCTTTCTTTCTTTCTGTCTTTCTTTCTTTCTTTCTTTCTTTCTTTCTTTCTTTCTCTCCCCCCTCTCTCTTTCTCTCTCCCTCTCTCTCTCTCTCTCTCTCTCTTTCTCTCTCTCTCTTTCCAAGGCAGGGTTTGGAAGGTTATGATAAGAACACAGCCCTTTCTAAGGTAGAACTTGAAGAATTTATGACGAGTGCACTTTCTGGTCTCTCTAAGTTAAGACACGAAAGTGAATATGGTAGGTTGTTGTGTCTTGCAAAGTCACCGCTTGTCTTATATGCTGCTTTCTTATAGAGAGACCCCTCCGAAACTAAGTCTGAAATCTTGAAGGATTTTGATGATCATACTGGTCTCTACCCCAAAGTGGATGTGGTTTAAAAGTTTGTTAGAACGGCTCTATTTGATTTATGCATATCTGCGTCTAAAGTTCATATATTCGATAAGAATGAGACCGAATAGAGACGGCAAATAAGAGAATCCACCTCCTTCTCCTCACGGCTCTTGGTTGGGGAGGGGGGACTGCATGTATCACAATGGTTGTACTGGTACCTCTGAAGCTAGATTTATTTTTCTTTGTTTAAACAAATATGTTTTTCAATAATGCAGTATTGCGGCTTTGTGACCTGAAGTCAGGTTTCATATCACCTCTCATCTTTCCTTCCCAACTACTATCATTCTTAAAGACAGCAGGGCACACGATTTGACACCCACCCCTCCCCGCGTACCCACTTATTTTTTTATAGGCGATCGTATCTGCACGCTACCTGGACGAAAGAACGTTCACAAATTTGGGTCTGGATTACATAAGGAATGGTCTCTTCGACTCCTCCCATGGTGGTAGAGACAACGCGTCCAAAATCGTCATCGTTATGACAGATGGAGAATCCACGGAGCCAACCAACAGTAAGCTCGTCGTGCAGAAACAAAGAAAAGAAAAAGAGCTTAGGACCATAATGGTATCAATGATGAATGAGTCGAGTTTACGGTCTATATAATTTTGACCAAATAATATTAATATTGTTTGTTTATAGCTCTCATGACTTTGTTCAGACCACATATGGAAAACATCGTCTGTGGTGTAATAGTAAGGTTCTTTGCCATTGTGCTCAGAAAACGTGAGTTCGATTCCCAAGAGAGGAAGATTTTAATGGGGACAGTCTGTCTGCATCCCTCTTAGCCTGAGCTGGCCTGTCGAGCAAGGGAGAAAAGTTGGGGGGGGGGGGGGGGGGGGCTCGCAACGTAGTAGATCTGAATTATGTCGATACAATTATGATGACCACGTGAGGACAGTTTAACAAGGTCAAAAATGATTTCATTGATAGCCAATCAGAGGCAACCACAACTGTCGACTGAAAGGGCAGTCAGAGGTAGCCACAGTAATTACTTTCCGTCCCCTTTGGCAAGACACAAGACAAATCCAAGGTAATCTCAGGCGATATTCTCAAGAAATGTTTGCTTTTACCATGATTCATTTTGCTCGATTCCTTGGGGGTTGGGAAGGGGAGGGGGTATTCAAATATCGGAAACTGAATAAAGAACAGCCACTCGTCATAATTTCATTATGTGCACAGAATGTACATGGTTTTGTTGCACATACGAAGTACTCATGGTCGAAGTTGAATTTTTTACTGTGGCTCCCTACGACCTTGAAATTTAGCCGCTTTAGTCCTAGGACGTACACTCGAAACTTTATGGATTCGATAGAAGTTTTATCCATAGGAAGGCACTTTACCATATTTTCTCCGTTCGCGTAACTGCAAATGGGTTCTTGCCGGCTGGTAAAGATGGAGTAAGTGAATGAAGTGTTTAAGTGTATGGGTTTAACGGCCCTATCAACACTGGTGGGTTATTTTAACAGCCGGGGTCTCTGAATTTAGTGTCCGTCTCCGATAGGACGGAGCCAAATGGGTTGAGAGCTTTGGAAACTCAAAGCAACCCAAGTTCACGAACGCTCAATGTGGAATTCAATTTAGGGCAGCCGCTTCATAGGCCAGCATGATAATGGCCGAGCGAATGGAGTGCCCCCAGTAAGTGAATGACAGCTGCAAGCGACAAACAGGTTATGGTGACATTGTATATCTATTGGAGTCCTCTTTCTCGTATCTAGCCCAGGCTTCCGCTCGTCTACTGAGGGCCGATGGTGTCCGAATCATCACCATCGGCATTGCCGACGCGGACTTGAAGGAACTGCAGGATATGTCCACCTCTCAACAGGATGTGTTCCAAGTGGCGGGATTCGATGCCCTAGATAAGATCCAACATTCTGTGGCCAATCGAACCTGTGAAGGTTTGTTCATTTCTTTGAATGTATTTTGTTTAGCTTGAGTTGAACACCCACTTACACTCTAAAGAATTAATTTCAATAAGGGAAACTTTTTTGTGGCTTGAAAAAAGAAGGAATAAGTGAAGGATTCTCCGATTATAAACCATATCAATACAATTCGTATGAGCATTTATATTACACATGACTCATACTTGTATACAGAGTAGGGTATTTCTTTTCCCTTTCTTCCAATTTGAGGAAAGGGGTGAGAGGGTAGGGCATCTGCCAAAAGAAAATAAACTTACAAAGATAATCCGAGAGCTCTCGAACTGGAAATCTCTCTCCGTTTTGTTTTATATCATTTGGGTAAACTGGTATAGGTATCCACACCTCTCGGCTACATCCACCATCATTTTCAAATATTACAAATCGAAACTTGGGACAACTAAGGCGACCTATAGCTATCTGCAGTCACATTATATTTGTCTGTCTGTACATCGAGCACTCCAACAATGAAAGGAGATACTCATAAAACAACAGAACGAAAGTCAACAGAGCTCTAATATTGAAAGAATGCATGGAAACGGGGTGGCACCTCATCACGTGGTTGTCGTATGGAGGGAGAGGAGTCAAAGTTTCATGTTGTATAATTTGCAATATTGTAATATGGGCTGTTGGTGAGGTACAGCAGTAAAGGATAATAATATCTGCATTCAGTATGTGATTGCGCAATAATTTGGGCGAGCAAAGATCTGGGGATCTAAATTGTTATTTCTCTATACATGTATCAAAAACATAGATGTATTTTTAAAAAGAGGCGATGAGACGAGGTGAGTTGAGCCGGGGTGAGGTAAGCTGAGACGGGTGGGTTTAGAATGGGTTGGGTGAGATAGGTTTGAATACTGTTACATTTGATCTTCTTCTTGTTCTTCTTGTTCTTTTTGTTCTTGTTCTTCTTGTTCTTGTTCTTGTTCTTGTTCTTGTTCTTCTTCTTCTTTTTCTTCTTCTTCTCTTCCTCCTCCTCCTCCTCCTCCTCCTCCTCCTCCTCCTCCTCCTCCTCCTCCTCCTCCTCCTTCTTCTTCTTCTTCTTCTTCTTCTTCTTCTTCTTCTTCTTCTTCTTCTTCAAAAAAGGCGTCCTTGTCTATCACGTTGGACTAGTCTTTGTCCATTTTTGTGCATTTGACAGTACCTTTGTACTTAAATATACATCGGCTAGATATAGTTGGGATTAAACACATTTAGCTGAAAACAGAATCTATATTATTATAGATCTAGGTCCGTCTTACACTCAGTGAGGATAGCACATACAGCTGACATTTTCGTATGTTAATTGATTTTTCTTCTCCTTTTTTATCCCCAGATCATGTGACCCTATCAAAACCAGGTAAAATAATCATCACGGTGCTTTTTCATTGTTATATTATTACCTTCAGTTCTTCGAGGTCTTGATAAGGCGCAATTTTCTACTTCATTTCACATCATTCATTTGTGTCTATTTACCCCTTTTCTTTCTAGTCTGCATGACTTTGACTGTGCTAAAGTTTTTTCTCGCAGTAAAGCAAGGAATAAGTGAGCACACATTATGACAAGAAACAAAGGACAAGGAAATATAAAAGATATCATTGTCGAACTTATGACGTAAATTATATTTTTTTAAATCGACATTTGTCCTATCACACAGATAGGCTTTCCCCCTTGTACCCAGGATTGAGGCGGGTTTTTTTTAAATCGTATATTTCCGTTTGTTATATCCCTCTCAGCCCTGATTGTCACTGTTCGGCTTAGTCGAAGCAGCGTGGCCCCTAAATTATCTAAACTGTGTCGATGATAGTGCAAAACTTTAATAACACATTATATTTTTTATTGTTTGTTTGTTTGCGTGCGGGTTTCCAGATGTAAGGTGTAGGTCTGAAGCAGACGTGATCTTTGTCATGGACTCCTCCGGAAGTATTGGCACCAAGGACTACGCTAGACAACTCCAGTGGGCGGTGAACCTGACCGACAACTTCCAGCTGGGTTCAGGGGACATGCAGTTCGGGGCGGTCATCTTTTCAGACACCGCTCAGAAACTGTTTGACTTGAACAAATACTCGGATCATGTACATCTGTCCCAGGTAAGTTTTATTTGTTCATGTAATTGTTATTGCAAACGTTTTAAACCTCCCAATTGCCAGAATTTAGATCACTTAGAAGGTGGGCTGCTCTGATCGACTTTTCTCGTCACGGCCAAACCGGACCGAGAAGTATACAACATCCCAGCAGATAGACAGAAATACTTAGTAGCCAAAAAACAACAACTACCATCTAGAAACTGAACTCAGGTCTTCTGCACGATGTGGCGAAGAGCACAACTAATACACGTCAGAAGCTGGTGCCCGCTTGGCTAGGTCGGAGCGACCTAAGATGGCAAAGTGAGATAGGTCAAAATCAAGAAAGAGGCGATGAGACGAGGTGAGTTGAGCCGGGGTGAGGTAAGCTGAGACGGGTGGGTTTAGAATGGGTTGGGTGAGATAGGTTTGAATACTGTTACATTTGATCTTCTTCTTGTTCTTCTTGTTCTTTTTGTTCTTGTTCTTCTTGTTCTTGTTCTTGTTCTTGTTCTTGTTCTTGTTCTTCTTCTTCTTCTTCTTCTTCTCCTCCTCCTCCTCCTCCTCCTCCTCCTCCTCCTCCTCCTCCTCCTCCTCCTCCTCCTCCTCCTCCTCCTTCTTCTTCTTCTTCTTCTTCTTCTTCTTCTTCTTCTTCTTCTTCTTCTTCTTCTTCTTCTTCTTCTTCTTCTTCTTCTTCTTCTTCTTCTTCTTCTTCTTCTTCTTCTTCTTCATTTTTCCAGTTGTTGGTCGCTGCTTCTCGCTTCTCGGACCTTACTCAATTATAACACTGTGTCTCTTGTCATTCTGTCTGCCTCAGTTGTTTTTGTTCCAGACCAGGTTTTTATGTCCTATTCCCATCTTCTGTAAGGTATCTCCTTTCGTACCGTGCCCTTTACCTATCCTTCTTAACTCTTCTTTCCTTATTTTCTGTTTCCACAATATTCTAAGACACGATGGTATTGAAAATGTCTGAGAGGTCAAACTATGTCAAAATCTTTATTAGAACACTGAAAAAAAAGTTGTATAAAATGCTCCAAAAAAAAAAATTGATGACGATTTTATACAATGATTTTCTCGAAAGTTTGGGCTTGTTGCAGCTTCCAGGCTTTATCCATTCGATGAATTTTGATATGCAATAATTCCAGTGCCCCTGTTTCAGATAATCCAAGTAATGTTGAACGGGACGTTAGTTTGAAACTGAAAGAGTTTAATTCTCATTCCAGGCGTTGACGTCTGCCTCGTACATGGCGTCTCTCACCCGCACTGATCTGGGCCTGTCCACAGTCAAAACGGACGACATGTTCGATCCGACTCACGGAGGCAGACAGAACGCCACCAAGATTGTTGTGCTGCTCACGGACGGGAACTCAGATTTCCCAGACAGTAGTAAGGAAGACGGAATAAGGAGTGGCATAATATAATGCAAATACATCGCTGCTGCTGCTGCTGTTGCTGCTGTTGCTGCTGTTGCTGCTGTTGCTGCTGTTGTTGTTGTTCTTCTTGTTGTAGTTGTGTATGTGTGTATATATATATATTATATATATATATATATATATATATATAAGAGCGTGCTCTTCGCCAGGGCCACCGTCTCTCTTGGGTAGCATGTGTGGCAGTCCAACATCCCTAAATGTCATCGCCGGACCTCCGTGTCTGGGCATCTCTGCAGCCAGTGCTCCAAATATTTGTGCTCCTCGCTGCACAATGGACATATTGGGTCCAATGTTTTGTCCATTCTATTTTTGTAGGCCTGCAGCCCAGAGAAGTGACCAGTCCTGGGTTTTGCCAGCAGTGAGTTGTGATCGCGCCAATAGGCAGCCTTCTTCATGTGCTCCTCCTATTTTGTGGTGTTTCTGACTGCTGTGAGTTCTATTGTTGTTGTTGTTGTTATTGTTGTTGTTGTCTTCTTCTTCTTCTTCTTCTTCTTCTTCTTCTTCTTCTTCTTCTTCTTCTTCTTCTTCTTCATTTTTCCAGTTGTTGGTCGCTGCTTCTCGCTTCTCGGACCTTACTCAATTATAACACTGTGTCTCTTGTCATTCTGTCTGCCTCAGTTGTTTTTGTTCCAGACCAGGTTTTTATGTCCTATTCCCATCTTCTGTAAGGTATCTCCTTTCGTACCGTGCCCTTTACCTATCCTTCTTAACTCTTCTTTCCTTATTTTCTGTTTCCACAATATTCTAAGACACGATGGTATTGAAAATGTCTGAGAGGTCAAACTATGTCAAAATCTTTATTAGAACACTGAAAAAAAAGTTGTATAAAATGCTCCAAAAAAAAAAATTGATGACGATTTTATACAATGATTTTCTCGAAAGTTTGGGCTTGTTGCAGCTTCCAGGCTTTATCCATTCGATGAATTTTGATATGCAATAATTCCAGTGCCCCTGTTTCAGATAATCCAAGTAATGTTGAACGGGACGTTAGTTTGAAACTGAAAGAGTTTAATTCTCATTCCAGGCGTTGACGTCTGCCTCGTACATGGCGTCTCTCACCCGCACTGATCTGGGCCTGTCCACAGTCAAAACGGACGACATGTTCGATCCGACTCACGGAGGCAGACAGAACGCCACCAAGATTGTTGTGCTGCTCACGGACGGGAACTCAGATTTCCCAGACAGTAGTAAGGAAGACGGAATAAGGAGTGGCATAATATAATGCAAATACATCGCTGCTGCTGCTGCTGTTGCTGCTGTTGCTGCTGTTGCTGCTGTTGCTGCTGTTGTTGTTGTTCTTCTTGTTGTAGTTGTGTATGTGTGTATATATATATATTATATATATATATATATATATATATATAAGAGCGTGCTCTTCGCCAGGGCCACCGTCTCTCTTGGGTAGCATGTGTGGCAGTCCAACATCCCTAAATGTCATCGCCGGACCTCCGTGTCTGGGCATCTCTGCAGCCAGTGCTCCAAATATTTGTGCTCCTCGCTGCACAATGGACATATTGGGTCCAATGTTTTGTCCATTCTATTTTTGTAGGCCTGCAGCCCAGAGAAGTGACCAGTCCTGGGTTTTGCCAGCAGTGAGTTGTGATCGCGCCAATAGGCAGCCTTCTTCATGTGCTCCTCCTATTTTGTGGTGTTTCTGACTGCTGTGAGTTCTATTGTTGTTGTTGTTATTGTTGTTGTTGTTGTTAGTGCTGTGGCTGTTGTTGTTATTATTATTGTTGTTGTTTATGTTGATGTTTTTGTTGTTGTTAGTGGTGGTGGTGGTGGTCTATTTGTTTAGTTTTCAATTATTTAAATTAATATTTGTAATGTCTTTCATTTTACCTCCGTGTCAACTTGACTACCCCGACCCCAACCCCTACCCCTTCCAGATCCTAACTACCCCCCCCCCCTCACAACCCTAACCTCCACTTGTTTATTTCATTAGCTTATAGAGAGGCGGAGGCCCTTAAAGACACCGGCGTCCGTATCGTCACCATCGGAGTAGGCAGCGCGGACCAATCAGAACTGAGGAAAGTGGCCAGTGGGCGGGGCGATGTGTTCATGATCAGCGACTACAGCGCTCTCCACACCGTGCAGGAAGCGGTCGCTAGCATCACCTGTGAACGTGGGTACATTTCTTTTTCTTGTTTTACTTTCTCTGTATAGTATAGTATAGTATAGTATAAGGTTTTACGGCGCTCGCAACTGCTAAGGTCATATGAGTGCGCTTACTTTCTCTGAGATCATTTATGAATGGCAGTGCCTTTCTTCGTGTTTTTCTTTCTCTTGTAAACCTGATTTCGAGTACCTGTCTATTTCTTTACAGTGTCGTGGGTTTGTTGGGGTTTTTTTTTTCATATTCTCTTTATCCTTTGTTCCTAGGGTGAGTAGGGGTCGAGCACTTAGTCTTCTCAGATAAGGACAAAAAAATTCTGCCTAAGTAGATGTTTGCACATTAAAGATCACTTGGACGTTCTAAAATAGAAAAGAGCAGGTACTTTGGGTTGTCGTCCGTACAAAAGTCAAAATGAACCCCTACCAAAAACTGAAGCCACTCTTGTCAGTAAAATGATTATTAAGAGTACCTTCGAAAACAGTACATGGCTGTCACTCAGGCAAGGGTTGATTCTACGGTCTATGTAGATAAAAGCGCCGTACATAAAAAAATCAGTAACACTGTGAGATGAAAATCTCACTGCCATTTACCCCCTTAAGTTCTAGCTAGGTTTCGCAAAAGGGTCACCAATGTAGCATTATATTCATAGACCAAGGATAAGTCAAATACAGCATTTACGGTTTCCACTTACTTTAATCAGGACTTGACAAGACTGCTCCTTTCCCCGTGCGAGGGAGTACACAGTGAAATAAGAAAAAAGGTCTAAATCTTGCTAGTCACGAGGAACGCTTCACAGAGGTGCGAGAGATCACCAGTTACCACATTATGTTCACAATGCATGCTGACAAGCCATAGGGGCGCACAAAATAACTGAGATGAAATTGTTTTGGTTGTTGTTATTGCTGCTTTTGTTGCTGATAATGTTGTTGTTGTTATTGTTGTTGTTGTCGTTGGTCGTTATTGTTATTTGTCATAGCCGTCATCAATCCACTAGCTGTAACCCTTCTTCTTGAAGCTGTGCCGGAAATACTTGCTGATGGTCCTTGCACGATGTGCACCGAATGTTCTTTGGCGTAAAAAAGAGCAGATGCATATATAATATATGTGTTTGTGAAGGAACTCGGCGTGTCATCAAAACACGATCGCATGTATGTATACGTAAGTGTATGTAACTCGGCGTGTCGTTAAATTTCAGGGCAGTTTTATCTTAGTGCGGTTAACTGCTCTATTCTCTTACTGGCTCAAACTAGTCTTTAGTCAGACTTGTCCTACTCGATTTGGGGCCGGTCACAATTTTTCACTCCTAAAATGTTGTGTCTAAGTAGTGCGGTATTACTCCATTGTTCACAACTTCCTAAAACACAGGCTTTAGTCAGTCTATAGACATAATTATCTAGGTGCGGTAAAAGCCTTAAGCAGCATTTTGGGAGCACCGATTTCGTCAACCCCAAGATCTACACCTGGTCCTGTTGTGTTACATTTACTACTTATTGTCGCCAATATTGTAATTTTCTGTCCAGTTACGAATAACCTAAGTATTCACAGAAACAAATCCATAAAATTTTGACTAAAACATAACTGTTTTAAGGTAACAACTTCAAATTGGATGTGAAAAATTGTGGAATTCCTTGCTTACTCAAAATAGCTAATATTTTGAGTTTGAAATTGTCGGTTTGTACCATCATCTCCTTCCTTTCTCTCATTTCAGCTCCTGCACCTCCAATTGAGAGACTGGGTAAGTATAAATGCATCTTTTTTGTGAATGTTATGGAATCCGTACGTTAGTGAGACCAATTTGTAGTTAGTGATAATAATTACGCATTATGATTCTTGCCTCAATGGACTCAAGTTAGGTTGTTCATGATGGGGGTCTGCTTCCATCTTGTCTGTAAGTGTCAATCTGGGCTGAGACGGAGATACGTAGGTTTCTTAAATTATAACATACAGGACTGATGTAAGTACCATATCACACACATGGCTGACGTAGGTTTTGTATCACATACATATCTGACATAGGTTGCGTATAACGTACAGGGCTGAGATAGGTTTGATACAACATACATGTGTCATAGGTTTTGTATCACATAGAGAGCTGACGTAGATTTCGTTAACATACAAGACTGACGTAGTAGGTTCGGTATCACATTCAGGACTGACGTAGATTTTGTATCACATACCAGGCTGACGTAGATTTTATATCAAATACAGGGCTGACAACATGCCTGACGTAGGTTTTGTTTAACATACAGGAATGAGGTAGGTTTTGCATCGTACACATGTCTGACAAAGGTTGTGTATCACATTCAGGATTATTGTCGGTTTCGTATAACACACAGGGCTGACATAAGTTTAGGATAACATACAGGGCTGAATTAAGTTCCGTATCACATGCAGGGCTGACGTGGATTTTGTATCATTTACTGGGCTGACATGGCTTCGTATCACATACATGGCTGACACAGATTACGTATAAGGTACAGGGCTGAGATAGTTTTGATATAACATACATGTATGACACAGGTTTTGTATCACATACAGGACTGACGTTGATTTCGTTTCACATACAGGACTGACGTAGATTTTGTTCAACATACAGGAATGATGTAGGTTTCTTGTAGCATACAGAAATGACGCATGTTTTGTATCCCAAACAGGGCGGGCGTAGGCTTTGTATCCTATACAGGGACTGATCTAAGTTTCTTATCATATACAGGGTTGATCTACGTTTTGTATCATACACAAATGTGACGTAGGTTTTATAGCACACACAGGGCTGACATATGTATAGCTTACATGCCTGACGTACGTTTCGTATCACATACAGGGCTGATGTAGGGTTTGATCACATATAATACTGACGTAGTTTCTGTATAATATACAGGACTGACGTTGATTTCATATAACAAACAGGACTGACGTGCAAGACGGTGGCCGATATTGTATTCGTCCTGGACGCTTCTGGCAGCATCGACGACGTCGAGTGGGCCAAGGTCCTCAATTTTGCCGCCAGCCTCACCACCACTTTCGTGCTGGGGCCGAATGACATCCAGGTGGGCGCTATTGCCTACTCAGACGACGCCCAAGTGGAGTTTGACTTGGATGACTATGTCACAAATACCGGTCTTTACGCGGTAAGTACAAGCCGTGTCTACTTATTTGGCTGGAAAGGGAGAGGGGTTTAGGTTAGATGCTGCTTAAAACAGGCAGTTGCGACTGGCGTCTGTTGTTCAACCGCTGCACACAAAAGACAGGAGTTCGATTCTCGGGAGGTAATTGATTACCTCCGTCTATGTACCGGGGTGCTGCATCACAAGTCGCCAGGTTTGGCCCTGGTAGGCACGACCTAGGCAGTCTGCCTCGTAAATTATCTTCATTGTATCAATGCTTTAACATCAAGCACTCAGGCCATAAAGGAAGAGGAAGGCCACGCAAAAGGTGGATTGAGGGAGTTGAGGACACCCTGAGAAATTATAACATCCCAATTGAAAGAACTGAGGAGCTGGCTTACCATAGAAAACTGCATCTCTCTTCGACGCTTAACGGCAACAGAAGATGAAAAAGTAAACGTAAGTACGTATCAATGAGTTTGTTTAAAATGCAATTACAGTGACAATACATTGTAGACATCCGACAAAGCCATGTGTCCTTTTAGGCGAAATACCACGGCCGCTCCTTTTTTCGCGTACCCATGGTGAAAGTTTTAATGTGTTGTAAGTCAGAAGTTGTCAATGATTATTAATTGTTGGGACATAATTTGTATCATGAAGAACTCATAGCTCCTCTTGCCTCACCCAGAACTAGTTGGTTTTTGTGTTTCAACAGTCAAAGTTTTTGCCTAGCGCGAAAATCGAAAATGATGCCAAATCCATTTCTGCAGAGAGAAGATAGATTGTCAACCTTTCATACCCGTAAACGCAAATCATTTACAGAGGTTTTCATTCTTTAACGATGATTGTTTTTTCAGGCCCTAGAAAAGATCCCAAACCAACTGGGCTACACGTACACAAACGAGGCGTTGGACTTGGCAGAAATGAAACTAAACGATACGTCATTTGGTGCTCGTGACGAAGTCCCCAAGCTTGTGCTCGTCATCACTGACGGCCTGTCCTCAGACAAAGTGGCAACTTCTAGAGAGGCCGAGTCCATGAAGGCAGCCGGCACCATACTGATGGCTGTGGGAGTGGAGGTGGGTGCACACATTTTAGTCTGTCTGTCTGTCTGTCTGTCTGTCTGTCTGTTTGTCTGTCTGTCTGTTTGTCTGTCTGTCTGTTTGTCTGTCTGTCTGTTTGTCTGTCTGTCTGTGTGTCTTTCTGTCGGTCTGTCTGTCTGTCTGTTTGTCTGTCTGTCTGTCTGTGTGTCTTTCTGTCGGTCTGTCTGTCTGTCGGGCTGTCTTGTCTTTCTCTCTCCTTCCCCCCTCCCCCTCTCTCTCTCTCTCTTTCTCTCTCTGTCTCTCTCTCTCTCTCTCTGTCTCTCTCTCTCTCACACACTCACCCCCCACCCGTTCTCTCTCTCTCTCTCTCTCTCTCTCTCGCCTCGTGCGAGCGTGCGTGCAGGTGTGTATTTGTGTGTGTGTGTGTGTGTGTGTGTGTGTGTGTGTGTGTGTGTGTGTGTGTTTAAATATAAGTGAGGGTTGGGGGAGGAGTTTGGTCAGATTTTTTTAAAGTTGAAGAAACATTAACGGCAAAAATAACAAATGCCGCGGTGGCAGTGGTGAGGGTGGTGTTGGTAGTATAATTATAGTTTATGCTTATCAATTTGTTTCAATGTTTGGTTGACAAAGAATAGAAGCCTTTAAAATTATAGAACCTACCTAC